TTTTGCTGCATACATAATCTGTCAAATATGAGACACCTGCACTTCCTTATTATACATTATAAACCAAACACAATAGGATACTTATTCAATGCCATGGAACTTCCAGTACTAAATTTCAAACCCAACATTTTCCTGCAATTCACTTCTCATCATTTTAGAAACACAATCCATCTACCAATACTTTAATACTTCGATTGTTTGATGTATCTAGTAATATGAAAGAAAAAAATTGTCTTCATTTAAATTAATTATGTTAGGAATGTAACAATTTGGCACATATATGAATGAATGAAGAAGGTACAATGATCAAGTTTATATCTTGTTGTGTCAAAAGGTACAAAGACAGAATTGAATGCTCAATCAAACTAGGCCTAGGGACTATTTCTAACACTAGAATGGTGTAGACAATGTAGTGATTTACTTTAATATGTTACAGGTTTGGTGGTTAGACTTTGTTTGAATTTCTAATATAACATTAATTCTTTAGTGATGGCATTTGAGTGAGAAAGACAAATTGATAGACACTACTAGAAAATTATTGTTTTACATCGCTACATTTACATCGGTTCTCGAAGAAACGATGTAAAAATTATATGCGGTGGCAAACTTGTAAAATAGTAGAAACTGTAAGCACATTTACATCGGTTCTTCACAAGACCGATGTAAACATGAAGTATTTTACATCGAGTTTTCTTTTAACCGATGTAGAATATATGAGCAATTTCTTTTCTCCTTTCCGCGCGAGCACAGTGCCTTTAGCACCTCTGCAAAATTTCGCACACGGTCATCTCTGCTGGAAGCACATTACCTTTAGGGCTAGCACAGATTGAACTTTGAAGGTACCTAGCTCGCGTGAATCACACACTAGCAAGGTCATTGATCTTCGAAGCTGATTTTCTGATACACTACTAGGCTCGTTGAAACTCTTATAGGTAAACATTGAAACCCTTCTTTCTTAGGTGTTGCGTCTCTGATCTTGTACGAATGGGTGATGATGGTTTAGGGTTTGGAGACGCTCCCGAAGGAGTTTTCCCGAGACGTGGTGGTCTTGACGTGAGTTCGTTGCTGAAGGGAGAGGATCGCTCGAGGTGCTTGTCGAGGACGTCGTTGATTCGCTTGCGATCCTCCGATTTGGAGGAAACGGACACTCCTCCTCGCTCTTTGTACATGATAGTTACCGAATCATGGTGGGAAATGGAGAATTAGGGTTTTTGATTCAGGGAAGCTTAAAACAAACTTTAAAATAAGAATTTAGTAAATTAAATAAAAAAAGTTATTAATTAAATTAATAATTCTTGTTTGACTTTTGTTGTTGAAGATTGGACTATGTTTATGTTGTTTCCCTCATGTGTATTGAATGTTTAGTATGTAGAAAGGTTTAAATTTTATCTTAAGGAAGCATTAATTAGTATACAACAAATTTTTTCATGTTTGAAAATCATGATTCAAATCATGAATGTTGTAAATCATGATTCTTAAGAATGAAAAAAAATATGTTTGATTAGTCTTAAATATTTGTTGGGAATGTTTTTAAATGCTATCTAAGAATCAAAGAATTCTACTACATTAAATAAACAAATAAAAGTACATGATGCTTTTACCATATTAAAACTTTATTTTTAATTTAGAATATTAGTTTCCAACATTTTTCTATGAGAACAATTATGTGAAAAACATATGTTAAAAACATTCACGGAAAACAATGTTTCCTATGAATGTTTTTTTAAATAACAAACAAAACATGAAAAATTAATTAATATTCTCAACATTAGATTCCTATAAAAGTAAAAGCTTTTCATATACCAAACGTCCTCTAAAGGAATAATTGGGAGGATGTGTTGGAATTCTTAGAGTCTTAAAATCAATTAGAATAATTTAACTCATAATTGAATTATGATCAAGTTAGAACCCTTATATTTGACTTAGGAATTCATAACCAAGTGAAAAAGAAAATATTTGAATGTGTTAAACGCATAGGAGGTGTCTTTTCGTAGATATGCAAATGTAGATTTTGTCATGCTACACTATTTGTGTGATAAGTGTGCTAGTCCTTAAGAGCCATTTGGCTATCTATCTCAAGGGCATTGAGTGCCAACGAGATGATGTTATGCGCAAGCCTTTCAAGTGAGCTACTAGAAGGTGGGCGCCAAGCGTAACCCCATCCTCACTGAGTGACTCCTAAGAGTGAGCCTAAGTTAGACTCTAAGCATGCATGCCAACGTAAATCACCATTTAATGTGGAAAAGTTACATAAGTTGAGTGTTGTGGATGGCCACAACCACACTAAACACAGTAACTCAAAAGAGTTGGTGTTGTCCTCTATGCTTAATTAGGATGCTAATTGCAGTGTTGCAAATAATAGAGTTATATGTCACATTTTTGGTATTGTTTCAACATAATGAATATGTCACATTTTTAATGGTATATTGGATTATTTGGCTTATATGGATCATGTTATCATATTGATAACTATGACAATCAATATGATGATTTGCATGCCATGTAAAGTGAAATGTTTTAAAGAAATGAAAACCTACCCTAAAGAGGTAGATGTCTCCTATGTTTTGTTCTAAAAAAATTTAGTATTGCTTATGAACATGCGTCATTGCATTACAAACTATGTTTTTGAAAGAAAGTTCCTAATGCATTACATTTGTTAGATAAATCTAAATGGGTCATGTTGATCTCATGGTTATACACTAGAACATACTAACAATAACTAAATGACCCTAATGAGTCATCAAGAGGTGTTGGACTTTTTACAAATATACCAATTATCGCCAAGTAGTAAAATAGATAAGTGTTTAAGTATCAAATCCACAAGGATTCATGTAATGACCAATTGATCTAATTTTAGTACTATTTAGGAAAATCAGAAGTTTAGGTTTTGAATATATAATTGTAAAAATATCTTTTAGGGTTTCTATTTCAAAAAAAAAAACATATTAAAATAGTTGTAAATCAAGATTAAAGAATGTTAAGGATTGATTTCACTAATCTTTCTCACATACATCCACTATTAAACCCTCATGTATTGTACTTTAAATTGTTATTTTGTTCTATTTTATGCTCACATTTTTTTTGGCAAAACTCACTTGTTTTGTTAAGTGTGAAGCATGTGAAAAGAACATAAATAAGGGAATTGGTGCAAGAAAGGCCAACAATGACAAATATTACTTCTAAAGGATGCAACACGATTGTGCTAAATTGCACCCCCTTGAAGCATGCCCTAGTGCAATCAAGCATGGCCATGCACTAGTACAAAAGAGACATTTTACATCTGTTATTTTGGACATTTTACGTCAGAAAAAAGTCCAACGGCAATGCGGGAGACGTAAATTTACGTCAGGTGTTTTAATCGACGTAAAATTACGTCGGACATCCTCCACGTCCGACGTAAAATGGTTGATAGACAAACAAAAAAAAATGATCTCAATTCGTGAACACGTCCAAAAAATACTCAAATGCTTCAATCCAATCGGAGAGATAGGTCCAAAATAAAAAATGGGTCTTGCCGTCGTGCATCGTGAACGAAAAACGCCCAAAGGTCTCGCACCGATGTTGCCGAAAATCGCTGGAGAGGAAAACAGTGTCAAAACACTCACGTGCAGGAATAAAACAACATTTTTACACAGAATGATCAATACACGCATGAAAGCACTAACCTCAATCCATGAAAATACCTAAATGCTTCAACCCAATCGGAGAGTTAGGTTTAGAATCAAAAATGGGTTTCGAAGTTGTTGTCGTCACCGCTCACCGTTGTCGTCACCGCTCACCATGAGCGAAAAACCCCCAAAGGTCTCATTGCCGGAAATCGCTAGAGGAAAACCCTAGAGAAAAAAATAGAAAACCACTTGCGCGCACGAAAAAGACGAAGGTGTTAGGGGAATAAAATAACTTTTTTACGTCGGGACAAAAGGGGTCTGACGTAAAAATTAAAATCTACGTCTGACTGTACTTCATATCCGACGTAGATTTTAGTTTTTACGTCGAACCCCCTTTGGTCCGATGTAAAAAATTTTAGATTAATTTCAAAAATGTCATCGCACATTTTTTACATTGGGTATTTTTATAACCGACGAAAAAATGCTGACGTAAAAAACTGATTTTCCACTAGTGATGTTACTCCAAAGACACAACCTAGGTTAATTAACCACAACCATGCTAAACTTGAAACACACCCATGTTGAGGAAGCATGCTCATGTTATCTAAACAGCACAATCATGCTAAAATTGAAGCATACCCAAGGTTAGAAAAACACACCCTTATTAGGCATGCACAATCGTTCCATTTGAACAACATGGTCATGTTGAAGCTCTTGACCCCTATTTTTCATATAAATAAGATAAATTAGGAATGTAATTTTTATCTTATTCTTTGTTTTCTAAACTTCCCTTTTTAGAGTTCTTTATTTTTGGTTGAGGATATGTAAGAGACTTAAAGCAATATGAGAAAAGGGTTTTCCACTTATGGTTAATATTTTTCTCTTGTTATTATGAGTTTAGTAAGATATTAGGATTTTTGTTTGTCATGTCTAGCTAAATCTCTATGCTAGGGTTGTGATGTAAATTATACTATTTGATTCCTAATACAATATTAATAAGATGAATTCTTTCTATATAATTGAATTGTTTATTGTTTTATCTCTACATGATAAACTAATTACTTTGAGTGTGTATCTAGATTAAGTTTTGGGAATGAACATTGAACAAAAACTAACAACTTTATAAAACAATTGAAACTAAGAATTTCTATGATCAATTTGCTTTTGAACTCCTCCTATTTGACTAGTTGTTTAATCAACTGTTCGTGCATATGTTTCCTTATTTATGAATTAATCTAAGAACAATTGGTAATTTAGAATTAGGAAAAATAGTTAATTTCTATAAACAATGAGATTAACTAATTGAGGGGAAATAGATAAATATTTAATAATTCAAGAATATTAATTTGGGGGCATTAAGGTCAATTGAAGTCACAACTATAGGGTTTTAAATCTCTAAATTTCAATCATTATTATTCTCAATTTCTAATTTATGCAATTTACTTTTACTTCTCCTAAACAATCTTGATTCTCTTAAATTGTTAAAAGTTGTCAGTAGGTTGATAATTACTTAATTTTGGATACGATTAATGAACTTTGTCCATTGTTATTATCGTGATAAAGTACGCTTGTTCATTTTCAATATTATATTCTTGCTAATCCAACAACCAAAGGAGAGAAATTCTAAATTCTTTGATTAAAATTTCAATTCCTTAGTAAAGTTAATTAAGTGATTTGCATTAAGATTTTAGGCTTTAAAGTTGACTAATAATTCTTATACTATTTTTAGTCATAAGCGTTTTTAGAGTTCCTTTCCAGATTGTGGTTTTAAAAGTGTTTTCCAACATCATTCAATTCCATGGATTCATGCATTGAATGGTCAAGTTAAAACAAGTATTAATAAAATGAAAGAAAAAATTAATTGAGTAAAACACTTTATTGAATTAATTAGAAGTTTACATGGAATAGAGTCAACTATATCAATCCTCAACACGAGAAAATTAGTCATTCATGGCTAATCTAACAACCAAAGGAGATATAAGAGATTCTTGAGGGTTTCGTCGTGATCGCTTTTGCTTCAACTTGTTCTCTCAAGGTTGACATATTTTTTTACTATACAAATTATGAATGAACTTCTATTTTTGGGCCTTTTATATGTCCCAAATATAAGCTTTTAAGCTTTAATCACTTAAGCGATCAAAATGACCCGCTTAAACAAGCCTTCAAATTTTCTCATAGAGGTTTTTGGATGGCTCTCGCTTAAGTGAGGGATGTGACTTGCTTTAAGCGAGCTTGTCACAAGTTCTCCAAAGCTTCTAATCTTACTTGCTTAAGTGAGCCTTCTTTGTAAGGTTTGAAATGCTATACAGTAAGCACTGCTTAAGTGATCAAAATGGTCTGCTTAAGCAAGTGATATGTTATATTTGAGGCATCATTTGTGCATTATATTGGGCTAAGTTGACCTTTTTGAGTGTCTAATATTGATAAATTGGTTGTGTTTTGTTTTAGTAGGTTTAGTTGGTTTTAATTCTTAATTTTTGTCAATTTTTAAAATTTTTCTCACTTTGACATTCATGTCTTGTGCACAACATATATAGAGCTACAAACCTTGGAATTGGAAAATCTTAGTAACTCTAGAATGCAAGAA